ATAAATTTTCGATTTAACTTTTACACTGCAATTAATTTCTCGAGAATCTTCAAAGAAGAGAAGAATTTTCTTAGCATTCTACTAGTACCAATGGTCCAGAAACTACACTGATTATCATTCAAACAACATTTTGGAATTCGTAGGGATCAATAAAAATACATGGAACGTTTAAAATTAATTATTGCGAGACAAACAAAGTGCCAAATCTTCCGTTTTCGAGATTTCCAGTTACATATACGAGTGCCGTTAAATTAACAATCGAAACAATTTTCGCCAAATTCTTAATAAACAAAACAAAATGATCTTTGCACACATCTACTTGATCATGATAAAAGTAAAGGCACGAAATCTGTGAGGGTGGAATCTCGGATCTTCGATGTTTCTAGTTACAAACATCGTGTCGCAGGAACGGTTCTCGGAACAGATTTGCTTCGATACACCCTCACCGAGCACGGGCATCGACGTCGTCTCGTTTTTAAGATAATCTGCTGGAAAAGACAAAGTTGAACGCGCGGCATGCCGCGGCGCGACCGCCGCCGGTTCCTCTAATCGAGATCGTACCACCGTGGGCATTTTTTCGACTACCGCACGGCTTGATTGAGCTTCGGTGAAAAGCATTCAATTTATACGGGAGATATCTTGATCGGGAGGGCGAGCGAAGAATGTACCTTCATTAAGGCGGGTTCGACGAACACGGTTTCGCTTTCGCTTCGAAACGTCCAATAATAACATTTTTTCGTAGCTTAGACAGGCCGACCGCGCGAGCCGGAATACCTTCACCGAAAATTTGTTTAACGACGCCGACCCGTTTGAAATAGCGCGGCCCGATCAATAGCTATCACGACCAACAATACGGTCTGTGACTCCGGATGGCCACTAAACATTTCATCGGCTGCTTCTCCAGCTTACCACTTCGCTCGCACTTCACGGACCGTGCTTTTGAAAAGTCAAACTCCGTCCACTCTGTTCTTCGTTGAGTCCCAAGTTTCTTTCGTCTGTTACTAATCATTATTGGATATACGGGAATTGGCAACTGAACAGTTTTCGCTTCATTTCTTACATTTCTACAAGTATTTATATTTTGCTGAAACAAAGGGCAAAAGATGCGAGTGACTCGTCTTTGGGGATCTGATCATGGGATGTTACAAAGGACATACTTGCAATTAGTCTTGCGTTATCTACACAGTTTTCAACGTGAATTAGATTAGATTCTTCAAAAATAAATGATTTAGTTTCAGAAGTTTGTACGACTGAAATGGAATCTCCTTCAACGAAACGTTGAACACTGCATAAGAAAATAAAGATATCTATTCTCTGTAACTGCTGTAAATCAATATAATCATCTCTCGACTCAACTTGTGACGTGAGATTAAATTTTCATCGAATCCTAGTGAAAGATCTTAGTTATTTTCTAGATTCAATTACTAGTAGGTTCAAGTACTATTATTTTCTACTTTCTGAGAAAGTCTCAGAAGATATTTATCGATTGAACGATTTTTGGGGAAATTGAATATTAAATGAATTATTCGAATGGACTATGGGAAAATAAAGTCCAAAAAAATTCTTCGAACCTCAATTAAAGATTCAGTTACTGTTAGATTCAAGTTTTCCAGATATATCACTAATATGGTTCACTAATATGTCATGACTGGCATTAAGATTAATTAGAGTCAATTGTTTAGGTTTGAAATTGGATATATGATAGAAAGAAGTGGTTTCTGAGAAGGTCTTGGAAGATCAAGCATCGATTTTTGGGAAAATTACATATCAAACGGAATGAACTATCCAAAGAAGAAAGAAATCCTGAAACATTTATCGAATCTCAATAAAAAGATCTCGATTACTTTCTAGGTTTAACTATTACTAAATTCAAGTACTTTCTAGATGTAGTCAATTTTTAGAAAAATTATATATTAAACGGATTGCTCGAATAGACTGTTCAAAGAAGAACGAAATCTAGAAACATTCATCGAATTCGAACGGAGAGAGGGACGATATGGTCCCTCGCGAAACCGATATAGTCAGATGTCCCGCGATCGGCAAGCGAGATCCGCGAAAGCAAGGAGCAAAACGTCACCGTCTGGTTTGCCTGGGCGCTGCTGGAATACGATTCGACCGAATCGGCGATCTTCCGGCAGAGTCACGAAGCCGTGGAATACTCGGATAAACTGATGCCGGCCAGAGGGCCGATGCAAAGCGTTTCTCGGCTGGCAGCCGAGGGGCCTTGCAGAAACATTGTCGGCTCGGAGCTGTCGTCGCTGGAGGAGCGGTCCGTTAGTTCGAGAGGCCGTTGTGTCTGGCTAACAAGTCGACCCTCGTGGCCCCTCGAGGGTGGTCGGCCCCGGGAGGTCTCCCGATCACGCGCTCGGTATCGGCTACTCGGACACGCCCGCGGTCCGTCATCCCATCATCCGCGCTCGAACCTGGACACGACACCGCGCGTCGTTGTGCACGAGCAGAGAGGATGATATCCAGCCGCTGCCCTGCATAGCCGCAGAACAGGTACGTACGAGTGCGCGCGCGTCCTCCACCATGGCAGATAGAGTTGAAATGTTCCGGTATTTAGACGATGGGCGCTCACTTCGAAATGCCCGCAGCCACCCATGAAGAGCGCCAGCAAAACACTTTGGATAGAACGAACAGCTAGCTCCGATTCGTACGCGCATGCGACAGGCTCGGTTACTTTCTAGGTGTATCGTCACGACTGGCGACAGTTGAGATTAGTCGGAGTCGACTGTTTTGCAGTTTTGGGAAAAATTGGGAAAATTGTGTATATTAAATGCGGGCTATTCGACAAACAGCAGTTCTGTCGAATCGATGTCAGCGATGTGTGCTCAACGCGTCACTCTCGACACGCCACGTCGCGTCGTTCTCGAAGCGCCAACTTTCTCAAAGATCTCGAATAAGCTGACTTCTCCCACGCGCGTTCGAGCACCCCCCATCGATACTCTCCCTTCCACCGAGAGAGCAAAAACAAAAAACAAAACAAAAAAACCAGAACGAAATAAAGAAGGAAGATGAAAAAAAAAAAAGAAAAGGAAAGGAATAAAACGACGACGTTTTCCCACGTGATTCGGCGAAACGAAAGAGCCGGTTTTCTCTCTTGTGTCGAGTGGTCCGCCGATCGCGAGTGCTCATTGTTTCACGGCACAATAATGGGCCTGCGTTTCGCTTGCACAGCCAAGCCAGGACAAGTGTGCGAAAAGCCGAGAGGGCGCCGTTCCGAGCGAAAGAAAACGAAGGCGTGTGCGTCCGTGCTCGTGCTCGCGCTCGTGTTCGCGGGGAGTCCACGAGAGAGCGGAGGATCGCCGTACAAAGAGTGCGCAAAACACACAAACAGCCGGATTGCAATAATGGATGCGTGTTGTACAAATACGATATCGGCTCGAGGGGGACGCAGACCTGGCCACGTGACCCTTTCAAAAGGACTCGCAATATAACGAACACCCCCAATGGCGCAACCCCCACAGGGGGCACGCTCCGAGCTCGTGTCCTCCACCAGTTACCGGGGTTAACTTACAAGCCCATCGCTAATACGTGCTGGAATACGATTTTTCTTTTCTTTCGCCTCTACTTTCATCCCCTGCCCACAGCACCGCTTTTTTTTCTTTTTTTTCTTTCTTTTTTTTTCCTACTTCTTCGTTCTTGTGCTGTCGAATTGTTACTAGTTATATGATAGGTATTAATTTCGTGTTACTGATGTCGATGTCGATGCAAGGGTGTTTGATTTTGTTCACACGATTCCATGTGATTGCGGATTGATACGAGGAAAGATCTTGCGTTTTTCGTTCAGTGTAAAGTATTTCACTTTTTCTATTACAATATGTAATATTCATTGCATTATGTACTGTTTATACGGTTTACTTGTGTTTTATAAAGCTTCATTGTTCTTTGTATTGAAGACTCTTAGTGCATGTTGAATTGTGGATGAATCAAAATTTTGTCCATTATCCTTTGAAAATTAATGAGGTTTAAAAAACTTAGCAGAACTTGATGACTTCTATTTTATCGATATCGATTGGGTTCAGGATTAATCGAGATATTGATATATTACAATTTCTCAACAGTGTAAAACGTTTAATTTGTTTCTCTAGTTCATATTCCAGTGAGATATTAAATAATTAATGTAGCAGTCATCGCTTAAGTATCTTACATAAAGAATACAAGATTCGCGTAACGATCAGCTTGTCAAAGAAGTTATTGCATATTCCTCGCGAGTACACTCGCAAGAATGCTACCAAGAATGCTGTCGATCAAGCTGCTCACACTTGCAAGTATTAGATTATGAACGTTTATGCAGACTCGTAGCTTTAAAAGTAAAATGAAAACGAAATAAAATTCTGTCACATTTTCTAAATACTTTAGAAATATAATTAGAGAAACAAGAAATATAATCAGTCGTACAATCATCCTCTAACACATTCGATGTAGGTAAGTGCATATTAATACGACCAATACTCCATTTTATGTATATATAATTTTTCCAACGTTTTACGGCTACATTAAATCTCGCGTGTTTTGCCGCGTGTATTATAGGATTGAAACAAACTTCGGATTGATCGGAAAAAGTTTCACCGGAAACTGCTGAAACACTCCGTGTATATAACTGTATTCGCAACGCGACGATTCAGTCGTCAAATTTCGTCTTGCGCGACAAACTTTCCCTCTAATGATGCCAGAAATCAAGGTATCGGTGACACGCGTAGTGGATAGCGCGTTAGGATAAAAACGTCACGTCGTTTCGGCCCCCCCATCGACTAGGTTCTCTATGGAGCGTGCACGAAACAGACGGGTGGAATAGCGAAGGGCGTGCACGCACAATTCAGAAGCTATTATAGGCACGCGGTCTATTTCGACACGTGTCTTTACGCGGTCTCGGATCCCCGTCGTTCGGTATCCTAAGTACGGACTTCCGACGTGTCGCCGCAAATCGCGCCGCACATTTTCACTAATTGTCCCGGTGATTTATCGGCGAAGCGATCACGATCGGGATTTCTCGGAATGAGAATCGTGACTGCAACAGTGACCAAGTTGTTTCTTCCACGATGCATTCGATATTCGATCTACTCTGTCCGAAATTGGCCATCATTCGAATCCTTTTCATTTTGAATATATATCTATGATGATTATGCAAATAAATCCACGTAGCAATTGTTCTCCATTCCTAACAAATTGTTTTCTATACCTTTTGGAGTAATTTATTATTGTTTATTTGTTAAATAAAGAAATTTTCATTTATGAACATTCTAATCTGATTTAATTGGTAAATACTATCATCGTCGGCAAAAATATTATTTTGTATGATCTTACGTGAAGTTAAGAATTTTGACGCTAATGGTTATGAAAAAAATATGCGAATTCTGTCAAACTCGTATTTTCCATTAATGAATAATAATAATTGTAGCATTTAATAGAAAATGCCTTGCATGAAACCGCTTTAATTAAAATATTCCGATATTTGTGCAAAGTTGAACTGTGATACGTCAACAGTTTGCTAGAAGCAGAAATGAAAAATTGATTTCTAACTTCACTGACATGAGGAAAGTATTCGTGAATAACTATTTTACCCGCAGATAAAAGCATTTCGATATCACACTGTGTCTGTCGAATCCAATAAAATTCCACCGTTTCATAACTTTTTAATAAAATCGATCGCTCGGAAAATCAATTATCGCTGAATTATTCAAACGATGAATCTATAGCTGAGTAAATAGAAGGGAGTGTGGGGCCAGATCGCCGCGAAGCTCGTGGACTAATTTTGACAGGCTGATCGATAGTCGGTACTGTGTGACAATCGGGGAAAAAGTTGAAGCACGTCATCGTGCAGCATTTTTATTTACACACCGGTACGCAAATTGACGTGTGAAGTACACACTTGTATCTGACAGTTCAGCCTTCGGAGCTAGTGACGCGAGGCAGCGGATAGAAAAAGCCCCACTGTCCGATTGTTCGAGGGAAATCACGTATGAATATTAGAAATCAGACAGAGTTTCCATCCTGGTATTAAACACTTACGAGTCGACTGCGGACAATTATGCATTTGTGACAGGTATAAACATGTAAAAATATGCAAGAATATCCGCAAGGACGTCAAGAAATGTAATAATATATGAAATTACGAAGCATATTTGAAAAGTAAAAAATTCTCTCGTACAAGTTTCACTATTTACCTGTGTACGTGCAAACGTATGAATTTGCATAAACTGTCTACTTATGCGATTTATGCAAACGAGCTCGATTTGCAAAATGCAATTTGCTTCTAAAATAGCGATATATGATCCGATGCGGATTTTACATGATTTAAAGTAAAACAATCCTGTGTAATTTTTGTGTGTGGAAATAAAAGAAAATTTCACGGGGCCGGTATAATTGGATTCGGTTCAATAAATAGAAAAAATCATTTTCGAGAAGTCAGCGTTAAATCCGACACAGGGGGATGTCTGCAACTCTGCAAATTTTTAATTACCACGGACGCTTCGGTGGATGATTTTTTAAAACATTCATCAGAATTTACAATAAAAAAAAGACCGTGATAATTGAAATAAAAAAGTTTCCACTCACTGAATCGTTTAAATAAGTTACAGGTATGTTTGCGCCCGGTGCGAAATTTTATATTAACTGCATGTGAACAAGTGGAAATACTTTGAATGATCATTAAGGATGATGAAAAAATCAATAATGTCGATAACAGAAAAAACGATCGTGTTCTGCAATACCATCAGAGTTTAAATTCCTAGAAATTGAAACCTATCGATAAAATTAAATTTCTATTTATTCAGATACGAAATACGACTAAATATTACTTAAATCAGAAATTTATAATTCTTTAGTTTCCAAGAAATCACATACAAAGTATATGAATAGATCAAGCATCTTACGGACTTTCGTGGCCGATGATATCTGAAATACCGACATAGTAAAGAATCACTGGTTTTTTAGCGCACTCTACGTTTAAATAATGGTGAGTTGGGGAACTAGTGAATGCGCCAGCAATATGAATTTTGAGACCCATTACAGTGTTGTCAAAAATGGAATAATTTTAATACTAATCTCGTGTAATAATTTTAGATACTAATCTCTCATGAAATCTGGAGATACAATCATTTTACTTGGTATAGTCACGAACTTTACATTTCGGTATTGAAAGTTTGACAATACTGTGGTGTTCTCAAAAATCATATTGTTGGCGCATTCACTAGTTCTCCAATTCATCGTTATTTAAACGTAGAGTGCGCTCTAGTGAAAAAACCAGTGATTCTTTACTATGTCGGTATTTCAGGTCACGGGCCACGAAAGTCCGTAAGATGCAATATCTATTCATATACGTCGTTTATGGTAAGATGCTTGGTCTATTCATATACCTCGTCGGTGTTTCAGTATCATTCCCAACATTATCGATGTAGCTTAGAATAAGATTGTGATATCTCTAGCGGTTAGAAATAGAATTAAATTTTAACAAAATTATAAAAATTATACATAAATATTTAGATATAGTAGATAACAAAGTTATACAAATTATACATAAATATTTAGATATAATAAAGGACACAATTTATTAATTGGTGATATAGTAAATATCTCTCCCTATTTATCTCATGAGTATTCTTGAATTTAATAAAATAATTATCGAGAATATATCAAATTATTCATTGTTTCTACCTATGTATAAAATGAGACTTTTAAGTACATTCGTAATAAAACTTAAAAATAAAATATAAAATAAAAAAAGATTAGTCTCTGAGAAATTAAGAATAAAATATAGAAATAAAAATCTTTATAAATTGTTATTTAAATTATTATAGTGAATTATTAAAGTGATAAAAAATGAACAAATATTTTTCGTTTTGCATGGTACGGAAGTTTAAGTAAATTTAAGTAAATTTAATAAGGTGACAAGTCCATCTTTGCCATTGTAAGAAATAATTTTTCTATTACAATGATCAATAATTTAGCATTGTACATTTATACTTCTCACAACTTACCGCGACCATCAATATTAAATTTTTTGAAAGCCACATTTAAGCTACATTTAAACTTCCCTGGTATCGCGAATGAAGTGATATTATAAAATGAAGTTAGAGAGGCACTTTTCAATTTTCCCTTAGAAAAAACAATCTAGTTCAAATAGTTTTCAGTTTTGCAACTATGTAAATTCGGTCATTACCAAAGAGTAAATAATCAATTAACATTACTAAGTAAACGACCCTATGAAATTTGCCGAATAAATAGTCGACACATTAAATAGTATGAAGTATCTACGTGAAATGCAAACAATCGAGTGTATCGAAACGCAATGAGCCCCAGGAAATTTCGGTTGAATGTTTATCAGATTTGCATAAAGATTCTGAAAGCGAGGCATTTGCCCCAAAATGCAAATCCAATGGTCGTGGTTAAAGTGGGAAACAGAAGGAAAAAGACGGTGGTCCGTGAAAGAACGGACTCGCCGATCTATAACGATGTAAAATTGGATGACATTTTTTTTCTTTTCTTCACGAAACGTTCCATTGGTCCCATTTATCGAAACTCCTCAATTGTATTACAGTACTTCGTGTTCGATCTCTTTTGTAACTTGGACGAGCTCTTGAGCACTAAAATTACGATAGCCGTATATCTAAAAGGTTATTTACGTTTCAAATTTCATGGAAGCACAACGTTTGAAGTTGCTTTGGTATGGGATCAACCAGGTAATATTGAAAATTTCCCAATTACTTCGGTTCCACATTACTCTTCTTTTTAATTGATCAATTTTAATTTGTATTATTGGGACGGGTCAATAATGTAATAAATTTATCCGAGCAGATCGTCAATATTTTCACAAATGGGTGATGTTGACCAATCCGAAAGACCTTTCCGCAGGACCGAAAGGTTACGTTAAATGTAACATCGCGATTAATGTGAAAGGAGAGAAATTGAAAGTGCAGCCGGATACGGAGGGCGAGGATGACATCGAGGGGTAATTTCCACTTTAAAATAACCTAACAAGAAATATCTCTTACTAACTGTACGACATTGAGAACTTTCAAAATTGAAGAACTTTCTGCATCTCCAGAATCAAATTAAAAAGCATCGGACTCCTTTATAGCGTCAAAATTCTTTGTTAAATCGATATTCCAATTCACGAGCGTCTTTAATCTAAGCCCCATTCAAGCACACTTTAATATTCATTGCGTGAAATTTCTCTTTAAACTTAATATTTTATAAAATTCATATTTTGAATACAAGCGATATTACGTGATAAATCTTCCGGTCTAGTAGCTTCTTTACAGTCATCAAATCATAATTTACGATCAATTGATATGAAAATTAGAAAATCAACAAAAATGTATTTGCTACGTTTTTTGCCACCATTCACAAAACAAGTGTTATTCAATATCGTGTTTGATCGTTAAATATTCATAAATTTAAAGCATTGTATCATATCTATTCCAAGATGCCTTTCCATAAATTTATTCGTTCTTTTCCCAATAATTCAATAAGTTCCCAACTGTGTCTGTATCCCACAAAACAGAGTATGAAAGAGTATTGTAAAATCGATTTGAGCTGGATACGAATTCCATGCACATTAACTTGTCGACCGATTAATGGAAATCAAATAATTGCAGGAATCTCTTGTTACCGGTCGGTGGTGAATTCCTACGTTTTAGGCAACGAGCCTGCTACATTTTTACAATTTATCGGGCCGATGGTTTGCCAGATATGAACAGCTTATGCATGAAAAATGATTTCGAGAATATTAACCCGTTCGTGCAGATATCGTTCGCTGGAATGAAGGTGATCATTAATGAAAAGAAAAATCGCAATCGAGCGCATTATTGAGCGTATATCTCAAAAAATTATAACTTCAATATTTGATTGAATCGTATACAAAGTTTATAATCGACAATTAAAAAAGTAAGAATTGAAATTACCAATGCTCACGAATGGAAATGGATAAATGAGACGCGATAGCATGCACAAAATGACCTGTTTCGTTTCATTTCGATAAATTTCGTTTATTTTTTTTTAGGAAACGACGAGAGAAGCATGGCAAACTTACAGGCCGAGATTTAACGAGAAGATCATGTTCAGAGAAATGTTTCCATCTCTGTGTCAACGTGTCAGGATTGTTATCAAGCACCGTGTTAATAGCTGTCGAACGTGTGTCGTCGCTTCTTACATTCTCAATATGAGCAAAATATCGAGTCCCGGGGAGAACGGTAAATTCGCGTCACGCGTTATTGAGAATTCGTCCCCGTGAAAATTTATCGCGGAAAAAATCAGGGAAAAAAGCAAGTGTCATAGAACAATATAGTTGGAATACAAACGGCGTCGAGTCGAAATCGATAAATCAAGAGACCGAGCCTATCGTGCATAAACGAAATTCAAATAACCAGTTTGCAAGCGAAATGTTGATTAATCAGCTCTGTTTGTTCTGTTCTATTTGTACTTTAAATTCTTCCACCCTTTTTCCCGTGAACAGGTAACTCGCCTGCGTTTAATGTAACCAATGTCGTGCAACGTCAGTCCAATTCGATACACTCCGGTGTATATTTCTTTCCTTCTTTTTTAACTCGGGTTCGTACGTCGATTTAACTATCCCTTCGTTTCGAGTCTACTTGTCAAATCGAAAGCTAAATTGAAATATTACGGATCAATCTTCTGTTTGAAGTAGAGAAATTTCGATGACACGTGCTCGATGAATGCCAGTTATAATTTTTTTCTCTTGGTTTGTTTTTTCCCCGAAAAACTCGAAAAATAAGGTAGCCTGATATATCGCTGGGTGTCGCTTCTATCAGGTTTCCTGCCGACTTTCGGTCCATCGTTTCTTCACTTTTACGGGTCCGGAACTACAGAGAAGCACAGCTGTTTTGGCAAGTGCTCTACAGCCCTTCCTTTTTATCGCGGCAGAGTTCTTATCTTCCTAAAGACTGAAATAGATGATTCGGAAACAATGTCTGGAAACAGTGTAGAAACAGAGCTCGCGGCACCAATAATCGAGGTACTATACCGATCATTTTCCTTTTATTATTCGATTGCTCCATAACGGCAAGTTTAACAATTTAAGCGTTAAATTTTCAACTTGGAACTGCAAATTTCAATTTTTTAAAATTCATATAAATAATATGAATAAATAATATGAATTATACAGCTTCTTTCGTTTATATAAAAATTTAACATCTTTTTTTGCATCATAAAAATTTTTAAAGTTTCAAT